ATTCCTTTTAGTTATTATTGTAAATAACTAATCAAATCCTTCTTCAATAGCTCTTGGAATCAAGCACTATAAATCTCATGCTTCTGATGGTTCACACCCAAAACCTAGCAACTAAGGCCCTATTTATAGCTACACTAGGAAATCCTATTTTGAATATAATACTATTATTTCAGATTAAGTATTATACAATCTCCTAATTATCTTCAAGGGATATTCTAGAAACCCTAGAATTTCCCTCCAAACCGTCCACCTCTTGTGAAGGTTCTGGAATACATTTTGTTCAACTGTTGAACAATTACAACTTATGTAACATCCTAAAATAAGACCCAAATTTTTTTCATTTTTAAGTTTATAAAATAGTAAACCATATCGTTATCATAAAGCCAAGGTAATCAAATTTTATCAATACATTATAATAATACAGTGAATCACAAAATGTAGAATCAAGTAGTGTGTGCTATGCAATCATCCCGGGCTCTTTCATTTGAAAACAGAAGTACCTGAAACATAACTGAAAACCATAAGCACAAAGCTTAGTGAGTTCCCCAAAATACCACATACCAAACATACAACTGGGCCTAGCCCTGTGGTATATTCCAACCCAATAAGCAAGTATGGGCCCCGCCCTAGGTCCTCACCCTGAGCCGATCATATTTCAACACGACATGCCATAATGGGCCCCACCCTGGGGTATATTTCAACCCAATCATGCCATACTGGGCCCTGCTATGGGGTATTTTTCAACCCGATCATACAAGAACAAATATATATATATATATATATATATATATATATATATATATATATATATATATATATATATATATATATATATCACAACAACTAGAATTCTACTTAACCGAATAATAGGCCAACATTAGTGCATTTGACCTATATATACAGGGAGGAGAAGTGGTATACAGAAGGTATAAAACTCATATCTTGAGGCTTGCTTTGCTAGATATTGACAGGAAGTGTTGCAAAACTCGGCCTACTCGGCCGAGTACTCGAAATCTGCCATCCACCGAGGCGAGTAATGTGCACTCGGCAAAAAAACTCGGATTAAGTCAAACTTGGTCAAAAATTGGTCAACATCTCTCTAACTCGGGCCTACTCAGTCTTACTCGGGCCTACACGGTCAAACCCAACCAACTCGGTCAAAATCGGTCAACTCGGTCAAAGGGTCAAAATTGTCATAAAAAGAGAAAAAACATCAAGAATTTCAAGATTAATATGTATAATACACTTAATGATTTATTATTTAACACACACATGTGATTATTACTACATATATATCTTAAATTTTCAGTAATTATTTATGAAGTGAGACATTTGTGTGTATTTCAGTTTTTATGTATTCATATGTATATAATTTTGTTATATATTTCAATCAAATTATTATTTTAACTTCTGATTTTGGCATATATAAATTTCCTAAAGTTATTTCTACATGAATTACCGAATCCGAGTACTCCCCGAGTACTCGCTACTCCCTCGTCGGCCGAGCAGGTACCGAGTAGTGAGTTCTACAACCTTGTTGATAGGGTTTAAGTTTATGTTCATTTTGTCCTAAAACCTTGGTCTTTGTGAGTATGAACTACTCCATACCATTTGATTTTTCCTTTTAGAAGTTTTTGAGTGCATGGTGTCATAAAAATGCAAGCTTGGTCATTTCCTTTCACCCATGCATGAGTTATGGGGTTTTTGGTGATGTAAGAAGTTTGGGTTTTGTGTTTGAACTCTATTTAGCCATGCATAGGAATAACTTTGGAGACTTTATGGGTTAGAATGCCTTTTAGGGTCAGATTTGAGGTTAGGGCGAAGTGTTTTAATGATTAAGAGCTTAAAAGTTAAGACTTGAGTTTAGGCTGAGTACGTCATGTGTAAATATGGCTACCCCCGCATAGCCAGCCGAGAGCTTGTTTTCAGGCTTCGTGCTCTACGCCATGCATAGAGCCTTGGTGCGCAACGTGTGTGGTCAATTGTGTTAACCATTGACTTTTTGATGGAGTTTGACTTTTGATCAACTATGGGGGTTTTGGTCTTGGAAGGTGCTAAATAGTCTTTTGACCAAATTGTAGATTAGACTTGGCTTGAGACTAGTTGAGTTTGGATAATTACCTTAATTGCTAATTAGGGTTATTTAGTGCGATTAATAGGCATAGTCTAGTTCCGGTAGTTTGGGTGTGAGTTTTATCAGTCTTCTGTGCGAGGTGAGTTTTCTCACTATACTTACCTATGTGGTAGAATATATGTGTTGACCAGATGGGTCTATTTATTGTTACTGTGATATGTATTACTGTGTGTGCTGAGACTTTTGGTAATCTCCAAGATTGCTAATAATCCATAGGATGTGTTGTTGCCTACTGAGGCTTCAGGTAGTCTCCAGGGTTTCTGATAACACATAACTGTTTATTTGTGTTGTGTTGTATGTGGTATTCGGGGAATTCACTAATTTTTGTGTTTACATTTGTTGATTAAATGTGTTTCGGGTACTTCTGATGATCACGGGAAGACGAAGGCTTGATTATACACATTCTCCTGTGATTTATGATTCCATATATTTTGGGACACTCTGATATTATGATGATGATTTGTATTTGATACTTGTGATTTTCTTGAGTTAGGTTTTTAAGAACAATGTTTTTAGTTCATTAAAAATGAAATTTTGGATATTACACGATGAGCTCTACAACTTTCATTAAGGTCTCAACAACTAATATTTGCTCTAACAAAAAATCATATTTAGACCGGTTTAGACTGTTAAAGTTCGTGCGAAATTCATAACTCTTTCAACTTTGTTACTCCTAATCATAAGACCTTCAATTATTGTTTAGATTGTTTTGTCTAACAATCAACCGATTTGAATTTTGATTTCTATGCTAACACAGCTGCACCGAAACTTCAAAAAATCATAACTTCCTCACACGAAGTCAAATTTGGGCGTTCAAATTTATTAGGCTAATAGCAAATTATCTATAATTCACTTCTAACAATGTGCATAACCATGCCGGTTTAATCGTAGAACTTCAAAGGAGCATAACTTCTTCATGTGAAGTCCGATTTATGAGTTCTTTTGAAGTACGCAATCCTTATCACATCTACTATAACTTTGGTTATGATTATTTATCCTAAATAATCATCTATAAAATTTTCGTTTATCGTTTGTCGATAAATTCCTTAAAAGTCTTATAAGAAGTAGTCTAGGGTTCAAATTATAAATTCATTAATTGTCTATTCTGAAGTTGTGGGCGTTACAGTATCTAAGAAACTACAAGAAATTTGTTAGAGCTAGAGCATAAAAACATAAACGAAACTACTAATGTAATAAATTGAGGGTGTGATAAGATCGTTATCCTTAAGTAATATTAACCCTCACCAGGTCGTTGGTAGTTTTATGAGATCAAGACTAAGTTCCTCCCAAGACCTCCTCGACGTTTAAGAGTTGAAGGCAACAATCCTACAAACTCTTCTTGTGAACATGACTCTGAACATTTTTGTGATAATTTTAAGAAGATATAAAAATAATCAAATGTAAATGAAGACAAAATCCGTGAATTCTTAGCACCAATTCTCAAAAATTGCAACTTTTCATGAAATGTTGTAATGCTTCATATATAACTGAAAAAACTATCAATTCAATTCTCACTCAAAACTGTTAGCAAAACAATAACAAAAACTTAACTAACCGTGAAGTATAAGTTTCTGGACTCAAATTGTAAGAAATTTTATGTGCGTGTGCGTGTGCAAGAGCCAAATGCTAATAGATAGATGTATGCAAGAGTTGTCACCGTAAGTGAAATGCAAGAAGGGAGATTGAAAAGAAAGAAGAAGATGAAGTCAACAAAAAAGAAAATAAAATCAGTTATTAGGATAGACGGATGAAACAACCAAATTGCTCTTATGTGCATTACACATGAGGAGAGGTAACATAATCTTTCCAAGTTTGTTATGGGCAGCGACTAAATGTGAAACGAAACTACGAAATATGGGCGAAAAATGTAACAACTCGGTCCGCGGACTAAATCTGCAGGATTTGGGAGAGCATGGGACAAGTTATGTAATTAACTCTTTATTTTACATTTAAAATTTATTTAAGGTATAATTAAATAAAAGTGTTATAGATAATTATGAAACGATTAAAAATATTATTTACAAAAAAAATATACTTTATGTTTTAATTAAAACTCAAAAAGTTAAAATAGTTTTCAAATGATATCTATATAATTAACTTCAAACAATAAATAAGAAGATAGCAACAACTACACAAGGATGGAATGAAGAGAAATATTCCATCGAACATAACAAAAGGGGAAAACTTAAAAATAAGAACGAAAAACAGGAATTGAAATGAAACTCATCCCCTTCTGGCTTCTTGGGTTTAGGTGATTTCAATTTCTATATATTTAAGTTCATCTTTATTCCTTCATATCAAGTACACTTTTATAAATTGGTTGAAAAAAAGATACGAGGACGTTAATTATGTCAACAACCCATTTGTGATCCCTTCTAATTTATAAAATAAATAGTCTAACATCAGGAATAATAAAAAACTAAAATACAAGTTAAAACTATTTAATCCCAATAAAAAAATAAAATTAATAATTGGGAAATAAGAGAACGTATATCATAATTTTTGAAAATGAATATTGATACAAATTTTGAAAAGTAATGGTTGCATTCAAGCATGCCAAAAAATGTTGGTTGCTTTATGCATAGAGGAGCACAATTGCATTTACAAAGCACAAGAAAAGGACACAAAAGCAAGAAGAATAAGCATCTCTTTGTAGCATTTTTTCAAGATCAATAATTACAACAAAACCCATCAATACCTAAATCAGTTGCTTGGAATTCACATAGGATTTTAACTTTTATGCCGAAGCCAAATCGATAAAAAGATAAAGACAACTAACGAACTGAAATATTAGTCTCGTAGAAGTCCTTAATTTGCAAGTTCTAGTTCTAGTAGATCATGTCGTCTCTAAATTAACGACGCCGTGTTATGGAAAAGGGTGTTGGTGAAAGTCACTTGTTAGCGCACCTTGATCCATGTTGAAATCACCGAAAGAGGACATACCAAAGTCACCATCCAACATCAAGAATGGTGATGTAGTTGAGCAAGAAGCATAAGTTGTTTTGGATGAGCATCGAGCTAGCCGGGCTTTAGCCACAGCTAGATCATGTTGCAACTGGAACATCTTATCCTGTAAAGACGCTATCGCCCCAATGCATCCATACACCGGGTCCTTGAGCCGCTCCTCGGCCTCAAACACCAAGGAATTGACCGCATCATGTCGTTGTGGTTCTGGGACCTCATTTAGGATCTTGGTGACATTGCTTGCACCGAAGACCTTGTGAACCTTGGCAAACTTGTTGGGCTCATCGGCTCGAAAATAAGGTGCAAAGAGACAATGAGGGGTGCACCTCCTTTTCATGAACTTGCAAGCCGCACAAGAAGATGTTGAACGTGGCTCTTGGCCTCTCATGGGATTGCCTTTTCTTTAGCTTTCCCTTTCTTGCAAATATATAGCGTTTGATGGGAAGGGGCTTTTATCTAGTGTACCCTCCCCACCTAAGAAATATTTAGTGTTGCTTTAATGAGTCATCAATCATTTTATTAGTTTTTGTATAAAAAGAATTAACATGATATAAATAATATTTTTGTAGCTTTTAAAATTGAATCATATTTATGAAATGAAAACTAAATTAATCTATTAAGATGGATTTTCTTTCTTAAGAGCATTAGTGAACGATGAAGTTAAAGGGGGACATATGATGGTTCATCTCCACAAAGGAGTGGATGAGACAATTGTGGCCTCATAAGATTAGATAGGTCATGATAGTTGTTCATCATAAAAAAATAAAAGTAGATTCACATTGTGATATTTGAATTGATTGAAGAAAAGAGATTTCAACCAAAGAAGAAACCCCTCAATACATAAAGTTGAATACATCCACAACAAGTAAACCTACACAAGCATTGCTTTGGAACCTACATTCACTTGATGGACCCAACAAAGCCACTACCACTACCATCTTCGTATCTTTTTCCTTACAAAACAAATATGCATTTTAGTTTAATAAAGATATTTATTATTAAATAAAATATTAGTTTATCAAATAACATATGTTATTTGTAGAACTAAATATACGAACTACGCAGCATATAATTAATAACGTGTATGTTAGAAAATGGTGCGAGTCACAAAAATGGTCCTTGGATTTATGCTGAATGTATGATGAGGTGGTTTGAATAATTTTGTTTGCTTTTAGGTTCATATATAATTGTTTGTCATAATCAAATAAACAATCTAAAGTGGTGGGACATAGTGGTTTAAACTTTTTTAAGCAAGTATTACCTTATTAACCGAAGCCGAAAAGTGGATGGGCCTTTTCAACTCTTGGATCATGTCAACCTTTTTATTATAAACTATTAAACTATTAATTATACTTATTTTAGATCTTGAATCAACCAAAACATTAAAACATATCAAAGCCCATGATGTTAAACAATTAGACCCAAGGGATTGATAACAGTGGACACCGTGTATATATATATATATATATATATATATATATATATATATATATATATATATATATATATATATATATATATATATATATATATATATATTCCTTTTTAGCCTTTAACCATTTTTATTTAAACCTCTTAAACCTTACATTTTTTTTTATATTTCTATTACTTTTCCTTTCAAAAGAATTTAAAAATGTCACGTCTGATTCTTCTGAAAAAAAAAGAGTTCTTGGAGGAAGTTGTAATGGAATTCATTTGATTCTTTTTAATTTCTATTTTTTTTTCCTAAGTTTCTAGACTTTTTTTCTTGATGTTATTTCTTTTTTCAACTAATGCAATGTAATGAGTTTTTATGTTTAATTAATGAATTTTTTTTAATTAAAAATAAAACTTTTAATTATTAAAATAAAATAAGTGTGGTATGAAACCACACTTTTATGGTAAATGCTGATGTGTCGCTTACATGACAATGTAACAAAATAAGGGAGTACGATACCATTTCCTCTAGCTAGGGATGTGTGTTTGGACCGAATATCTGAACTGAAAATGAAACCGGACCGACCCGAATTAGAAACGAATAAGTTATTTGAATCGGTTCTCGGATATCTATTTTCGCCAAATTCGGGTTTCGAGTTATTCAGTCCAGGAAGTGAATAATCATTTGAACCGACTCAGAAAGTGAATAATTATTTGAACCAAATAACCCAAATAAACCGCAATGACCCAAATAACTTAAATAAACCGAAATGACTTGAATAACTCAAATAAAAAAATTCAAAAAATTAAAAATTAAATTAATATTTTTTTTCTTGAACTAGATATAATACAACTTGATCTAACTCATTTTTGGTAACGTCAATATTCACCAACAACATCCCACTTGTTTTTATTTTTTAATCTCACATGAGATATATAAAACGAAAAATAAACTTGTTATGATAAATATAAGAAAAAAAAAGTTATATATATATATATATATATATATATATATATATATATATATATATATATATATATATATATATATTGCAATTAATCATGAATCAAATAATGCATGTCCAAAAAGAAAGAAAAAAATAGCAAAGAAGTATGAATACAATTATTTTTGTATTTATTTTTATAAACAAATTATATTTGTTTTTATTAATTTTTATATTTTTTTGGTAAATAATTTTTTTGTTTGTACTAAAAATAAAATTAAAAAATATGAGGAAATGATGGATGGCTATTTCATAGGTGAGACCACAAGGATCACAATAGAAAATGATGTGATGTTGAAATGATACATCTATATATAAAAAAAACTCTCATATTATTTTCTTGTTAAAAAAGATATAATATTTTTTATTTATTTTGTTTTATCCAAATTTTGAACAAACGTCTATTAATTTGTTTCATATAAATGTTGTAACGATTCGATGTGATATAACTGATGATATGGATGTTCAAAGTCATGTTTGATATCTTATAAGATATCATGATTTAAGAACTCGATCATCTTCCACATAATATTTTTATTGAGTTTTACCTATCGATATCTTATATGAGTTCAAGGGATTAAATGAACCACTCATGTCATCGGCCATAATTACCGGATCACTTAAATAATACCGGTTAATATGCTTTTATAATAATTTTGGATAAAATGAATAGTTAAAAAATAATATCTTTTTTCTGAATATGAGGAGGATGATATGAGTTTTTTTCAAACTAGGTAGTTAGAAATCAAGAGTTGATTATAGCTTGAATATCTTAGACTTGAAATCATTTTCTTTTTAGTAACAAAAATGGAAACCATGTCACAAAAGGTGATTATATCAAATCTCAACACGGATGTAGCGTAACACAAGTTCATTTCTAGTCCTTGCCATCATATGAGATGACATATAGCTATAATATTCGAAACAACGGAACGGTTAATCATAATTTTGTAACAAAAATTTCAAATCATTTATGATATAATAAAGACAGCAAATTGAAAAATTGAGTATAATTCTTTTGACTAGTTTCAGCATTATTCTACATCCTTTTCAAGAGCCTGCCATATACTTGTTTTTTCAGAGTGTGCAAAAACATTGAATGTGTCTAAATTCTAATAATGAAAGCCACAATAAAGGAACAAAAATTTCAAATCCTAGACGCATAAATTCATTATTAAAAAAATAATAATAATAAAAGCATGATAAAAAATCATCAATCATACGACAAAACTCTTGAGTCTTGATAAGATCAAGTGCATAATCACGACCACATGTTTTCTTATGAAATAAAAAACTATAAATGTAAATAGAAGTTTTATGGTTGTTATATATTTTATTGAAGAATTAGAAAAATGGAAAAGAAAATTGTCACTTCAAAGGGAAGTGGTGGAATGAAGAAAAAGAAGACAGAGATAATGGGCTTTACTCTCTCCACTTGGGCTGGGGCCTCGACTCTCGAGGTGGATGTGAAACGGCCCCGTATTTGATTTCACAACTATTTAAACACCACGCCACGGTGACCGCGACGGTGACCGGCGACGACCATTAACAATCTAAATCAGTTATTAACAACTCACATCACATCATCGATCTCACAAATAAATCATAAATAAAATAGTTTTGGTTTATAAGCTATTCATGTTTATAAATAAGTCTTGTTTAATTGATTATTTATAGTCAATCACTAAAATACAAAAAATGGGATGGTTATACAAAAATGATAATTTATTTGGTCTAAAAGTATTGTATAATACACCTTTTATGAAATTGCGTTTTGAAATTTGAATAGTCCATACAATCATCTTCCATAACTTTTTTTTTTTTTTTTTTTTTTTCATAAAGAAATCTATTTTTTTGCCAAATAAAGAAACCATGAATTGATTAATATGAATATTTCTTTTAAATGTATAAAAAAAACTAGGTTCAATAAAGTCAATTAAGTGTTTGGCTTTCATAATATTTCATGCTTGGCAAGCATAAATTGTTGTGTGTAATATATATATATATATATATATATATATATATATATATATATATATATATATATATATATATATATATATATATATATATATATATATATATAGGGTTAGGTTTATTTGAGACCACCTATATTTTGTGAGACCGTGAGACGTATTTTTTTATTATTTTTATTTTTTTTAGTTAATTCATGTTCCGAAAATAATATTTAAAAAAAAGAATTTTTTGATTTTTCCATTTATTTTGCATTTTAAAATTATTTTTAGAATATGTACAGTGTAATATTCTATTTAGAATATTTCACGTATTTTTCAAAAAAAAAATAATTTTTTATTATTTTTTTTATATTTTTTTTAGTTAATTCAAGTTCCGAAAATAATATTTAAAAAAAGAATTTTTAGATTTTTCCATTTATTTTGCATTTTAAAATTATTTTTTAGAATATATCACTGTAATATTCTATTTAGAATATTTCACGTATTTTTCAAAAAAAAAAAGAACAGAATTTTTTTTTTTTAATATTTTTTTATATTTTTTTTAGTTAATTCAAGTTCCGAAAATAATATTTAAAAAAAGAATTTTTGGATTTTTCCATTTATTTTGCATTTTAAAATTATTTTTAGATTTAGTCTCACGGTCTCACAAAATTAAAATAGTCTCAAATGAACCTGAACCTCTATATATATATATATATATATATATATATATATATATATATATATATATATATATATATATATATATATTATATATATATATAATATATATATATATATATATATATATATATATATATATATATATATATCACGAAAAATGAGTTTTACGTTAACTCTAACCCATAGGTTTCGTCTAAAACCCACTTTTGTTTTGCATATTTTTATGTCTCAAAAAATACTTTATCTTGGTGAAATTCTCAAAATGATCCCATTTACCAAAATTATCAATTCTGTTCTATGAAAAAACATCATCTTCTGGCAAAAAAAGT